TGACTAAACTTTTTGTATTTGATTTGTTTTAAAAATAAAAAATAATAATAATAAACCTATTTATTAATATTTAGGCGCCATTAGATGTGATATCGGCAAAACAGTAAATAAATGTCTACCCATTGGGGGATGCACTAAAATGAAACTTCCTCCAACATAGGCGCACACATAAACTGAAGTCTACTTTTACAAGTCTCTATGCGTATGGATTCACATAACGAGGGAAATGCTGAAGTGGCACCTATGTGATAGTGTTTATTCAATAAATGCCCACGGTTTCAAGTACACACTTTATTTATCTCTCCATTAAAGCTTATTTTAAGCAATGTTCGGAATTGGGTGAAAAATTGGAAAAGCACAAAAATAGTTATCTTACAGCCAAAAAGCACAGCTTTCCTTTGAAGCTATATGCTCCAGCTCTCCCAATGGGTCCCTAGTGGCTAGTGCCCATTTGTAGGGGTGCAAATTGACAATCCGAGATCCAATTCTATTTGGTTGAATTTGGATCACCCATATCTAATCCGATCTTCTATAAACCAAATTGGAGACCAAAAATCGACCTTCCTAACTTGTAAATAGCTGAAATATCATGCAGAAAAACATGACAAACGGGCCCATAACCTACGACCACCCACTCTATTTAACATTTATGATTGGTGTGGGGCGTTATCATTAGTTCTATGAAGTTTCCAAAGGAGAAACCAATCTCGAATGTTGACTCCCCAAGTCTTTCCATGACTTTTCTTACAGACGACGTTCATAGGAATTTCATCATTTTGAACGCCTTGAGTGACGCAAAGGGCCCTCGGAATCACTTTCAATCAAGCAACAAATTATCAACACACAATACGTATGTCATATGTGCCTATGTGGTTTTCGACATTTAATGCATGCAATGAATTGTCAAAAATTTGACATTTTCAAAGGCTTAATATTATTCCTTTTTGGGCTTGGATTGTTATCCACAAGTTGTTCTATCCATGGAATATTATAGTTGTGCCTTCTGATAAAAAAATAAAAAATGATCAAAATTATTGAACGATTCAACCACCCGGATCAGCGGTTTACTGACAAATTAACATTTTTTTGCAAATATCCGGTTTTGAGGAAAAATGGAACCGATCACCAGATCGGTTTCCGGTTTTTCCGGTCCGACCGTCCAGTCTGGTTTTAAAAACCATGCATGCATTGGGAATATCTCCCTTTTTTATTCATACTCGATACATGACGGTGGTATTCCATGGGTATAGATGTGGGAACATTTTGTGGGTAACAGTTTTGGAACGGTTTTATTTTAGATAAATATCCAAGATATAAAAAATTATGTATCAATGTTTTGCATTCACAAATGTACATACATATACACAAAATTTATAAAAACAGTTTCGAAAATCATACAGAGATTTATTTTATTTGACCTTTGGCCCATCTCTAATGGATGAGCAAAAGTCTACTAAGAAAGCAGAAATGGAAAGGACAGAGGTTGAGTAACCTCTTAACACACACATAAAACTCTAAACCCCATTACATTGCTCTCATACTCAAGTTTGCTATAGGTTCTAACTTTGTGCTCAAAACAATGAGATACATAAAAGTGAAAAACCCCAAACAACATAATATATACCAAAGTTGTGATCCATTTGTCCCACGTTATTGGTTGTATGGGATGCTAATGTGAGATATTCTACATCGGTAGTATGAGATACTGTTGTATATGGTATATATATATTTGGGTTTCCTCCCTTTAACAGCTAGTTATTAGGGATGAATTATCCTAAGGCACCGATCAACCAACCGATCAGACCCAGACCTGTAAGTTGAAATCGGGTAGGGCTTGTAGCTCTGCATCCACCACAGTCTTCAATGGAATTATTTTTTCTCTTTAAATTTTCCTCCACAAATGCAAATTAGGTCATAAAACATGCTAGAACAAGAATTCAAAGGCATAATTCAACAGCTTAAATAACAAAGTGTGCCATAGTCTCCCGGTGCTTAGTGTTACTTCCTTTTACTTAATTAAGTCTGATCTCTATAATGTCAATAATCTGAACATTGCTTTTAATGGTCATTCTTATACAGCTCAAACTCCAACCCCATAACAAAATCTGTCTTATTTTAGGTGTTTGTAGTGCATGTGGATGCACATGCAACTGAGACTAAACCCACCACCAAATGATATATATAGCTAACTTTACACCTTGTCTTACGCCACCAAGAGAATACGTCTAAGCAGAAGGAAACACGATACAGATAACGAGTTAGAATATATTTTAATGGGGTTTAGTGGATTTTTCTTAATTAAGGTTTTGGAATTCTGAGTTGCCATCAGCTCACTCATGGCCTTCTCCCTTCTTCTTCTTCCTCGTAAGTCAAGAGTGACGATTCTTCACGGCTTTCCGCATATACATCAGACCATGTTTGCCATAAGAGCCGTCCATTGACCCACTACTTGGTTTATCTTATTTTGCTTTATTTTGGGGCTCCACTCTCACGTGAAAACAAAGTTGTTCAATTTGCAACCCTTGATAGGACTAGGATGGATGCGTTTGACGAGATTAGCAGCTCAAAAACATGTTGCTCAAGAACATCGTTTTCAAAATCGGACCGGATCGGATGGTTGGACTGGAAAACCGAGAATCAGTCAGGTGACTTTGTTTTACCTTATAACTATTATTTTGTCAAAAAACTATTGATTTAGTCAGAGAACCACTGTCCTGAGCAGTCAAATTGTTTAAACCATCCAATGGTTTTGGCCATTTTTTTATTTATTTTTGTCAGAACAGGTCATCTGTTTGGTTCAAATGATCAAACCGTTTGACCCAGGAATCAGACCCCTAACCGATTTGTTTTCCGGTTCAATTTAAAAAACCTTGCTCAAGAGTTCATCCCCTTCCGTCGTTATCATCATCAATCAAGTTTCATTATTTTATCCCAAGTACATATGGAGTTGGCTACATAAATCCTGTTTGAGAGTTGGCATGCTTGATAATAAACTTTGGGTTCAATCCCAAATCCTCAACCCTAGTTGGCCTACTTGGATTGATGTAAAATCATTTGGGTCACTCGATCATGGTTTCAATGGTTTATTTGGCTTCCATTGCTGAGGTGGTTGAACTAAAAGATTTGTTATGCTTTTTAGTGGATAAAATGATTAAATAATAAAATAGCATGAGTTTGGAACAGTGGGTGTTTATTGAATAAATGCTATCACATAGATGCTATTTCAGCATTTCTCTATTATGTGGATCCGTAACATAGACTTGCAAAAGTAGACATTGATTTATGTGCATTCTATCATTTGGGGAAACTTCATTTTAGCGCTTCCCCCAATGAGTAGGTATTTATTCATTGTTTTTTTGATGTAGTGCCTAATGATACTTAAGCATTAATAAACAGGTTCATTATTGCTTTTCTCGGTTTTACAAATAAATCAAATATAAACGTTTAATAAATAAATGCCCATGATTCCAAACACCCTATAATTAAAAAACACTTAAATTACATGAATAAATGAAAAATTATCTTTTAAACTTATCTTACATCAAAATAAGCTCACACCAATACAATATATCACACCAACTAATAGCACATGTATTCATCCTTTGCAAATGGAATGTAGAGTAGGGTTTTACTTAATTAAATACTCAACAGAGAATATGGTTTTTATTTTATTTTTTTTGATTGGGGGGTCAATACACTATAATGAGCTCTATACTATAATTATGGACCTTATGACTATCAAATTAATACGAACATGCCCTTTGACTGCTCCATTATATCTCTCTCTCTATTTATATACTGATCAATGATCGACAGCTCCTTTCTCTTCATCTATTGGCATGATTTATATTACCCCTAATAAATACTTCCCCTTATAATTATCAATAATATCCATTAGTCAAACACCTTTATTGCCAATGGCCATTTATATTAAAAGGATGCACACAATTAACAATTAAATCTAAATTTCAATTCTTCAAAGTTCGTCACATGGGATAAAATGGAGGGCCCATCCAACACAATACACCAAGGAAAAAAAAAACCCTTCTTTAAATCGACCTTAAAGCCCTAGGGTGTAACTTGCATTCCAGTGCAATTTATATTTTTCCAGAAAGGTATTATATTTGAAAAATTTTAATCAGTCACAAACCCACCATGAATTTGAATAAATACTAGTTCATTGGTTATCAGTTTCTTTTATTTTTTTAATATATGATATATTTTCAATATTGAAGGGATTTGGTTAATAACATTTTTTTTTTCTAAATTTTCGTTCCTACTTAAGCATGAAGGATGTTTTTGTACCACCTTATACTAACATGCATCCATATAATATAAAGAGATCACTTATTTTAGCTTTAGTATAATCATAAAAATTAAATTTGATTATATAATGTTAACTTATATTTTTATCTAGTACGTGTCCTTATAATAATAAAAATAATAGCGAGAATATATCCTTAGATAGTTCTACTGGCAAGAGTAAGATTAGCATCTAATGGTTGGTTCATGTTACTCCCAATTTGAAGTCTCTCCATTGTAAAGTCAATGGAACTCAAGTGCACTCATTCCATCTCCACCTATATTCTTTAATGCTTAATATGTAAATCCAAATGATGTTGGTGAGAAAAAAAATAATCATGGGGAAGTCCTAAAATACATCTCATGAAATTTCTCAAGGAAGTTCCCACAACCTTTCCTCTCCCACAACTTTCCAAAGAATCAAACACAACCTTGAAGGATTGAATTGTTCTCTTTCAAAATTCAATTTAAAATTGATGCGTGGAACCCTAATCAATCCACCAGCTTGACAAGGACCCAAAAACTCATTTCATTCCCAACCATTAACCCAAACCTCTGGCCCTTGTTCAAGCAAGAAAGAAACCATGTCACCATCACTCAAAAATCTTACCCCACCAATCCAACATTCCAACATCAGTCTGGACTTGTAAATATGATGTTGGTGATAATGATGTATATTGTGAATTCGCAAAATGCCCATTTTGAATCTGTGGATCATTTTAACCCAAAGGTTAATATCAGAGAAGCAGAGCAAAATTGAAAAGTCCACAAATGGGACAGTGGGGAGAAGCTTCTCACAGCAGCCTTGAGCCTCCTTGACTGATAAATAGCTCGTCATAAGTCACTTCCCTCTCTCTTAATAAAGTATCCATTTTCGAAGTCTGACAAAAACATTTTCCTCGAACGGCGACCGGCGGGGCCGCGTTGTGTCATCGTCAAAACTTGAATGCAGACTGCATTCAAAGACTCGGAGGAAGGAAGGGAGTTGGGGGGTCTTCGTCCATTCATCGTTTTCTTCGCTCATTCAACCTTTTTCTCAAATGCATTGTTGTTTCTCCCGGCACATACTTTTCTCAGGGTGGCCGTTCGATGACGCAGATTGTTTATAAGATCGTGTTGTCGAGAGGAGTTGTTGGTGTTTCGGGGTTTTTTGGGTTATGGGTTCGAGTCCAGTTGTGGGCAGCGGTGGTAGCAGCAGCAGCAACGGGAACAGTTGCTGCGACTTGAGTCTCAAGTGCTGGTGTAGGTGGAGATGGGGTCGCTGTTTCCTGTCTCCGACTTTTCTCTTCCTTGTTGCTTCTATTGTTGTTTTTGGGTTCATCGCTACTCTTTATGCTTGGCTCACTTTCCCCCCGTATGAACGACCGGTTCTTTCTTCTTCTGGTTGTCGAGAAGACCCTGAGGGTTCATGGTCGATCGGTGTTTTCTATGGGGACGGTCCGTTCTCTTTGAAACCCATAGAATCTGTAAGTTCCTTCGCTTTATTCTGAATGTTTTTTTTTTTATTTTTTTTTTATTTTTTTTATGGGATTTCCTTTTCTTTCTTTGTTTTGGATCTGGGTTTTTCAGTTTACTTCTTTTTGGTTGATGGGTTGTTTTTTGTTGGGGATTCTGAAACAGAAGAATGTGTGGAGGGATGAGAGCGCAGCATGGCCTGTCGCAAACCCAGTTGTTACTTGTGCCTCCGCTTCAGATGCGGGATTTCCTAGCAACTTTGTTGCTGATCCTTTCCTCTATGTTCAGGTACAATTTATTTTATTTTATTTTTCAAAATTTTGTTCTTTTTTTATTGATAAAAAAATGTTCTTTTGTTCTGTTATTGTCGTTGTTTGGTAAACAACGCAACTTGATCAGTTTTTTAGTCGCTTTTGAAACTGTGTCCAGAATGAAATTTGCAACATAGACCTTTTGTGATTATTATTCATGCAGCAAAGTTTGCTTTATCTAGTTCCACTTTGAGGCTTGAGCATGACACTACAAATAGAAAATTTATGCTGGTTTGTTTCAATTCTCTTTACTTCCTGTTTTGTTTGTAGTCCTTATCGTTCCTAATCAAGTGGGCTGTAATGGATTAGCTTAATCTGTTTGGTGGTGCCTGATAGGTTTTCCTATATCCATGTTTCATAAGCTGACATACACATATTGTTTTCGGTCCCAAATACTTTTCTGGCCCTTAACTTGGTAGAAGAGTCTAAGGCATCAAGAGTAGTAACATATTCTGAGATGGTAACAGACAACAAACTCCCAAAATACAAGAATTGTTTAGATGAACCGTTAGTAAGCTTCAGAAGGGGTGTTGTATTGATACAAACATGTGAGTTGAATTCTATTATGGGGAATTTAGCAAAACCATGAATTCTGGGATGTGGAAATGTATTTATTGTTAAAGAATTTAAATCTTTGAATCTCTAGCATTTATAACCACAGGGAAGGGCATACAAATATAGAATATCATCTTTGCTACTAGGAAAATCCTTCAGCAAAAAAGATGGAATTCATAATGTGTGCTAATTGTTTCTTTATGTCAAACAATCAATGAGAAGAGCATAATGATATGCACCATTCAAATACATGGAGTATTGGAAGCTGATGCATGTTTGCCAAATGCTTCATCCATTTTGTAGAGTCCATGCAACTCTGCTCAGAAGCACTTCATTGGCCCAATTGCTTTGATTTGCATGTCAAGGTATTCCAAACATTGTTTGCAGCCCAAATTTTTGAAACAATACCAGAAACAATGATCAAAGGAGTTTTATTAAATATGCAGAAAAAATAAGAGCCACCATATTCTGAAGGATTGGACTGCAGGGGAGCCATACACAGCAAATTGTTGACTAGACAATACTGGGGCATTTTGTAGAAGCATCATTTGGCTGTGAGGTCTCTGTTTTGAGGTTGATCTTTCCACCCACATTCCTTTCCAGTGTGTCAGCTAAACTAGTGGCCAATCTAATACCTGTTGGCATACTTGTGTATGACATGCTTACACAATGCTTATAAGATGAAGCCATATGGACAAAGAGGTTCCTTCCTAGTGATTTAGTGCTAAAGAAAGGGACTTAATAGAGCCAAAGTGGATGGGTACTGAGAAAGGACGGAAAGGTCTCTAAATCAGCATCCCCTTTTTTTGAGAAAAGGTAATGTAAATTTATTGATAGAAAAAACTAGTACAAAGGCCCCCCAACTAAACACCTTAGATGGGGAAACAGCCCAAACATAACAAAATTAGCCATAGGCTCCTAGAATTCAACCTAGCCCCCAACTCAGCAGCCTGGATTCCCTTCGAGGCTGAGATCCAAGAAATCAGCTTTCCAACAGACATGGAAATCAGGTCTTCTGGATCCTTATAGATATTCTGAAATAGTCTTTTGTTCCTTTCTGCCCAAATGGTGCTGATGACTGCAGCCGGAATGGACATCCACACAGCTGAAGCAAGCTTTGACAAACCCAGTAATCCCCAGCTCCACAACATCTCCTTCACCAAAGCTGGCATTGACCAGGCAAGACCCACCGAACCAAGAAAATGATTCCATATTCTAGCTGAAATTGAGCAATGCAGAAACAGATGGCTGCTATCTTCCACTCCTTGACCATAACACACACCTCTGGTCCTGGATATGAACCCCTCTACCTTTTGTTTTTAACTTATTGATGGATGGGATATTGAAGATTGGATTTTAGAGGTGGCAATTGTTTGAAGAGTAGAGGGTGAATTGTCAGTGGCATCTATTTGGCTGCTCATGTTGGACCTTCTGATAAGGAAGGTGTTCAATTTTCATTCCTCTGACCTAGGTGGCAATTGCATTCCCTTAGCGTAGAGATAGGCCTACTTTTTCCTTTTCAAGCTCMTAGGGTTCTGCATGCCTATATTGTTTCAGTTTGCTGATTTATGAATGGTAAAAGGGTGCAAAATACTTCATTAATGATTAGCTACTCTAGCAGGTGTTAACCATGTTAACCACCAACAATCCTTCTGACATTATTAAGTCTTTAACTCCTTTATGGTGCTTTGTTTGTGAAAAGGACTGCTCCATTTTATATAGTTCTATGATATATCAGGGTTAGGCAATCTCTCTTCCTGTTCTCTCTGCTGACACTCCTTGAAAACACTTCCTCTTTGAACTACATCAGTTTTAGCATCTTGAGCTATCACTAGTAGTACCCTCTAGACTCTTGCACCTCATTTCCCCAATTCTGGCCTCTGCTTGGTCTTGGCTCTATTGTCATGGTGTTGATGACATTGAGTGAACTAAGGTGGATTTTTCTCTGACTGCTGTTAATCTGGATTTGTATTCCCTTAGCTGGAGATTCTATGAGCAGATGTGGCTTAGCGTCCAAATTAATCTTCTACAGTGGGATACATGATGCTAGACCATGTGATATAATTCCCATGAAATGCTCAAAGGGAAGCATTTATTTTAATGTTTTGTGGGATAGGGGGCTCTTGATTTGGATTAAATGTTAACAACCACATCTGTGTTTAATTACAGACCATAATTCTAATAATCAGTCAATTCTTAATTCTATTGAAGCCTCTAGGTTGCCAAATTAAGATTGTGCGTTGTGACCAGGAAGCTGTACACGGTCTGTTTCAAAATACCTGCTAAAATTATAAAATATTTTCTTGCTGTATACCTTAGTAGAAACAAAGTCAAAATGTCTCTGTCAGGGATTTTCCATGCTTTTCTTCTAGCCTAGCTGGGTCAGAGACAGAAATTTTCATTTTGGGGCTAGATTACTTTTCTTGGGGAAGAATTAATGAAAGTATACTAAAGAATCTCAACCCATTACTTGGTGTAATGGCAAAGCATTGGGCTCGCAAGCATGAGAATTCGGGTTCAAGTTTGAGAGTGGCCACTTTGTGCAAACTGCAAAGAATGGCAAAGGTTAGGACCATATCAAGTCTACCCCTCCCAAGACACTAGATAGCTAGGAGCCTAGGACCAACATTGGGTAAATGACATTTTTTATACTAAAGAATCTGTGCAAAGTATCTAATGAAAATTTATCTAGTGCTTCTTTTACTTTTCTAGTTACTAACTTTCTATGCTATTTTCCATTATATTTCTATGCTCAGAGGTACCTGAACTTAAAATTGTTCACTAGTTTGCATCAAAACTTGGTTTACAAGAACTTGTTTTGTAAAGAAAAAAATGGAGAAAACCATGGTAGATTAACAAAACAGTTTATCAATTAAAACGAGATCTTGCAAATGACAAATGGATAATTACTTCAAATGACAATAGCGCCAATGTAGCAATAAATAATCCTAAAAAGTAGTTTAGTTAAATTTTGAAGTTAAAAACTAAGATATTGATAGTAAATAACAATCTATTTACCTCTTAGCTAAGTACAGCTATGCTGGTTTGACTGTGAGAAGAGCTCTTTGCTTTGCAAGGGCTTTACTTGATGAGGAGCCTTTCAGTCATATGGGACTATGGGAGTGTATGGACGTGTTTTGAAAAGATGGTGATAAGTAATTATTTTTTCCCTGAAAAGAATAAATGACCAGTGACTCAAGGACAATTACTTGAAAACTTGGTTACCCTTTGTAGGTGGGGGTGTGTGTTTAGTGGGTTTGTGCTCCCTTCTTTTTCCCCATTCTTTCATAATCTTGTAAAAGAAAATGAGATAGTATTGTTAGTTATGTAGGAGAGTGAGTAGTCCCAGGCAGTGACAAAAGCAGACCTTTGTATGGACTGGAGCAGCACCAAAGAGGAGAGCTGATAATTATGGACAATAGACTTATGCACTAATGAGCAGTGACCAGAAGATATTAATGACAAGCAAAGAGGTTTTGAGTCATTAATTTTGGACATATCAGCGGGAAAGCTTGTTAAGCTTTTTGGAAATTAAGTAATGAAATGGTAAAACTGTAAATATAATTCTATTCATTCAAAAACCAAGGGCCACAACACAATTTACTAAAAGCATAACTATACTCTTCAGAACCCAACTAGAAAGACCCTATTTACTGTTTGAACATTTGAGTTTGGATCCTCCTTGACAGGCTTCAAATCCAACTAAAAATTGACGGCAGGCAACTCATAATTTATAATTGGTTTAAGCCCATGATAAACCTGTACTGACTTAGACACTTAAGCAGTTATGAATACCCACTACTAATCCTATTAACACTAAATTAACTAAAACAACTTTAAAATAGACCATAATTTTGAAAAGTTACTGGTTATACTCTAGGACATTGAATATTTCTCCCACAATCATTTTAGATCAGTGTAAGGACATTTTTTTTGATTTGTCATTTGTCTTTTGATGTATAAATAGCGAATGCAAACTTATATATGAATTTACATGGTTCTGACTATTAACCATGTATAGAGCACTCTAACCCTTAGGTTTCCCCTGAATTTGATCTATAGACTATAGTAATATAATCACAATTTAAGACTGAAATCCTGTCACAAGCTGATTCTATCAGTAAGATGGTCATAGCATTCCGAAAACACCTTTTATTTACAATATCTTGGTCTCATAGGATAGGCAACTGAAAAGCCTATCTAATGAGGCCAAAATTAAGTCAGAAAAAAGAAAAACCAAAGTTTGACTCCTAAAGCTTAGGATGCAAGAAAATCGATGTGGCTACAATTTGAACTTCTGAAATTCTAATACTTCATTAACACCTTTAAGCTATCCTGATTCTTGGACTCATAAAATATATTCCTGTGACATGTTCAAAATAGATAACTACTTTGCGAAGCTGAAATTGACCCAAAAATGAA